CCGCAGGAGGCGGCCAAGCTGTACCACACCAACTACGTGCGGAACTCGCGGGCCATCGGCGTGCTCTGGGCCATCTTCACCATCTGCTTTGCCATCGTCAACGTGGTGTGCTTCTTCCAGCCGTACTGGATCGGCGACGGCGTGGAGACCCCGCAGGCGGGCTACTTCGGGCTCTTCCACTTCTGCACGGGGAGCGGCATCTCCCGGGAACTCACCTGCCAGGGCAGCTTTACGGACTTCTCCAGCCTTCCCTCGGGAGCCTTCAAAGCCGCATCCTTCTTCATCGGGCTCTCCATGACGCTCATCATCACCTGCATCGTCTGCTTCATCCTCTTCTTCTTCTGCAACACCGCCACCGTCTACAAGATCTGCGCTTGGATGCAGCTGACCTCCGGTACGCCAGGGGTTAAAATCCGGGTGCGAGGAGGAGAGGCAAGCCCTGGCGCTGAGAGGTCGCAGTCACAGTCACAGTGAGCGGGAAGGGGGGACCAGTCCCACCTCTTGCAGGCATCACCTCAGTGCTTAGGTCAGCTTCTCCAAACTGGTGCGGGGTTCAGCTGGGTCCAGATTGCAAGCCCCAGCGTTCCCAGCACATCAGAACCGAGGTTTGGCTCCCTGCACATCTGGAAGGTCCCAGTTGGGAAAGGCTGACCTAGACAGTCTTGAGATCAGAATGGAGGAAAGGTCTGGGTATGCCCTTCGGGAAGTGCCCTTACCTTTGGTCAGACCGTGGTCACGTTTAGCGTAGTGTTGTCAGTACTGACTGGCAGAAGCTCCCCAAAGCTTTGAGCAGCACTTTTCCCTTCCTTGCACAAAATCAACCCCCAGAGCTTCTGCAGGCAGCATGTGAATTGGATAGTATGTTTGTTACAGGGGGATGAATGTGAAATGTGATGTCTAAGGTAGCAGAGACTTTTATGGGTTGGGTATCTGTGTTTTGGGGAGCGGGTAGCTTACAGACATAAAAACTGAATGTGCTTAGCGTCCAGAGATATTCAGGGGTAAAATGTTGTTGAGGCAAAGCTGCGTAAGTGTGCGTGAGAAGCTGGGTGCATACAAGAAAGCTCTTGGGTTGATTCAGGATGCTTGCTTGGGGCTCGGTTTGGAATGAAATCTAAAACATAAAAGCAAACCTTCAACCCTTTCTCTTCATACAAGTGCTCAAATATTGATTATTTAGGCTAGCGAGGTTAACATCTTTCTCTCTCTCTCTGGGATTGCATATACACTAAACAGTCCCCTAATGCCTTAGGGAAAAATATGGATTTCTCCGCTGCATTCCCCCCGCCCCCCAATGCACAAATACCTGTTGTCACAAAGAAGAGAGGTGACTTTTCAATTGCTTGAACTAACATATTAACTTGCAGTGGGAAACCCATTCTTTGGCAGAGATTGTTGCTTAGGTAAAGGTTATAGGAAAAATGGCTATAAAAGGGAAGAAAGTATAATAGAAAATGGGCAAATTCTTCTGTTCGTCAGATGCTTTGGATGTTTACATTTTTTGATAGGTTATGGTGAATGAATGCTATCTCCCAATATTTGTGGGACTTTTTTTCATGATACTGGGGTGAAAAGTAGGTGAGATAGTAAAGTTTTCCCATTTGAGTTCTCCTTATGGTAGTTTAAAGAGGGAGCAGGAACCAACAGTTAAACAAGGCTATATGAGATCAGTGATGGTTTGGTCCCAGTTAAATGAGCAGAGGATGGAGGCCTGGATTTCTGAGCATCTTGCTGGTTTCACGCATTACATGAAATCATTGTTAAATAAATCACATTCATGCATTTTGCTAACCGTAAACCATAGCTTGTGGTACCTGGGTTTTTAGATTCACATGACACACAAAATCAAAAGTATTGGCTTTGTTGGTGTTTTAACCAGGTCAGTGTGAATGAGGTTTATACTAGTTTGATAGTGAAGGGAACAGCTAATGTGATAAAGGCAAAGGAATCATTGAAACCTTTTTTCATGTTGAACCTTGGAAATGCAAAATATGTACAATGTCATGAACATAGACATCTAACAGAGGTCATTCATAAATGAGGAGTCACTAGGGATTTGTTATTAATATGAATCAGTTTGTGGCCAAATCAGATATGAACACGAATGAATTACAAAATATTAAAATAGAAGGTGAAAGTTGCTAAAACCTCATGGGTTTGAGCTATCTGGAGACAGCCAAAGTGAAATGTATAAAACAAGCCAAATGAACATACATGTATGATTTTGGGCAGATGGTGGTAGAAAAAATGAACTTACACTGTGGTTTTCATTAGTTATAAATTTAATGATCCAGTTATTGTCATTTATAATTCCTAAATACAATAGTTTCTATGAGGTAATATACAAATATGTCTTAGGATTATGTGCTTGGTAATATGGAGAAAAATAAGCCATTGCTTTGAAATAATTAAGTAGGTAATAAAGTAGAGCTCTATTAGGGGGCAGTACCTAGTTGAACTTGGCTGATCTTGAAAAGCTAAGCAAGATAGAATCTGGTTAGTATTTGGATAATTTGTAATTGATGGTGTTACATTGACAATACTTACACTGCCTAGCTTTGCATCAAAGCATTAATAGATCTTGAAATTCAAATTGCCAAACTTCACAATATTCCCAAAGCATTTAACAATCAGACCCTAAGCTTAAACACAGCTCTTTTTGACATCAATGCATTGAGCCAATAGCAAACACAGAGATCCTGTGGCCTTACACTGATAAAACCCTTTGGTGCAAAGCAGTTTACAAGCCTTGGTTTGGGATCAGAAGGTAAAGACAGGAATACAGCGTCATCTGCAAAATTCAAGATTAGCATTATGAATCTTTGTTTCAGAAGATGGCAGCTTGTCTATGCCTAGAAGGTAAAGAGAGTTGGACATGGCTGGCACCTGGAGTAGGGAGCTTCAGAGAATCCCAGGGCTATAGGCAAAGGTTGGAAATGGAAGAACCATCCAGAGGAACGCAACAGCCAAGCACATCTACATGGGTGTCAACGGGAATCAAGCTCAATCTGAAGGAGACTTACTGTTCCTTAGCATTTGTAAAGTGCTTTGGCAATGACTTGTACCATGATGGAACTGTAGGAGTATCACTACAGACAGTGTAGGGATGTTTATTTTTTTATTTTCCACAATCTCAATTCTCTTATTGATATAGCTGCCCATCTCACAATAAAGCAACTCTAGGCAGCTTACAGTGCAAACCATCATAAAACCCAAATGTTAAAAACTACAATTAAAGAAACATCAGCAATATTACTATTAACAAAGTAGCAGTGAGAATGGATGGTACTGATAACTAAAAATTTAGCCATGCAATTCAGAAACCAAAGAAGTTTCCAAGCTTTGTTATAAGCTATGAATAATACATTCAGATAGAGGTCACTGATATCATGGTTTCTTGAAAAGTGCCATATGAAGCTGTTAAATTCTGTCAGTCTTATTGAATACATCAGGGTTCCTCAACCTCAGCAACTTTAAGATGGGTAGACTTCAACTCCCAGAATTCCCCAACCGGCATCAGGTTGAGGAACCCTGGAATACGTAGTGCAAAGTTGTCCATACTAATTTTTTCACCCAGCCCTATGAATGTGTTCTCCTGGCTTGCTGGTTGAGAACTCAGTCTAGTAAACACTGTTTTCAGAATCTGCTTTTTCTTAGTCTTTGAAAATAGTATGCATTGATTCTGTGCTTTCATTGATTTCATAATTTGACTATAACATCTACTAAAATAATATTTTTCCTATTGCATTCTGTATCCAACATAGCATTTATGATGGAAGAGAATCTGTTTCATGTCATGCATGAAAGTGGTATAAAAATGTAATTTAAAAAAGCAAGCATAATTTCATTTACATCCTGATTTCCTGCCTTTACACAGGAAGGAGTGTAATAGAACTTGGTGAGTAAACAAAAGTTTCCAGAATCTCCACTTATTATCTCAGTACTGTTCAGCTAGAGATGCTGGGGTCTGAATTTTCTGCATGCAATGCGTGTGATAATCTCAGCTCCTGCAATTAATCATTTAATATATTGCTGTCCATGGCAACAAGCATGTTATGTCCCACTTGATAAGCTGCAAATGTTTAGGTTTCTGTCTGCCTAGTTTACAGGTGAGTGCTAACTGCTAAGGAATATTCACAAATGAGGTTTCTAACTTACCTTTTGAGAGCCAGTGTGAGTCTCCTTCCTACTGGCAATAAGGAGTGGAAGGAATGCTGTGTGCCCTGCCTTGAACAGCTGAACGAAAGGTGGGTTATAATTCTAAGAAGTTAAAATAGAATGCATGGTCAACCAATAGAGTTGCCTTCAATACAAATCCATTTCCTTTTTTATTTAAAGGAATATATTAAAAATACATTAAACGGCAACCCTAGTTCTCAACCTGTTCCCTTTGGACACCAGAAAAGGTGTTAGTAGACACACTGGTGTCTACAGGGAACAGATTGAGAACTAGGGTTGTAGGTATAGCCTAAACAACAGAGTCAATTTCTTTTCAGCATTACAAAAAGATATGAAAGCCAGTGTGGGGGTATGGTTAAGGTGTTGGCCAGGGAGACCAGGTTCTAGTCCACCCTCAGCCATGGAGGTTTCCTGGGTGGCTTTGACCAGTCAATGTCTCTCATCCCAAGCTAGCTCACAAGGTTGTTACTGTGTTGGAAAAATTGGAAGAATTGCCTTGAGCTCTGATATGAAGGGTGGGATAGAAGTCTTACAAATAAATAGGGGAGGAAAAAAAACCCCTTCTCAGTATATTGTCAGAAAAGTGACCTGAGGTTGAAACAAAACTCACAGATGCGAGTTGATTCATATTGGCTGGTAGGTAGAAAGAGTTCATTTCAAAGTAAATGTGTCTTTTTGTTTTTGCTTAGTTAAGTAAAAGCATATGAGGGTCAGCTTGGCATGAAGAAAATCATTTTTCATCCAGCACTCTTTAACAGGGCTACTATACAAGAGTGTTCTAAAATCCACATTGTGTCCTTATAACTCCTTTGTTCATGCAGTATTCATTGATTAGAATAAGTCTTACAAAACCATTGATTTGTGAGCAGTACATTTCCTACAAATTAACTTGTGAACTGTTAGTAGGAATAGCTAATTGTGTGGTGAAACTAATGTTAGATATCTATTTCAAAACACTGAGGGTGATCTCTAACTTGAGGGAGAGCAGAAGTTCATTCTTTTTTGCAAAGACCTGTTCATATAACACCTGACGACTGTGCTTGTCATACAAATGTGTGTATGTTTGTGTATTTAATCAGTGTATTGCATACATTTTACAAAGATCAGAGAGAACATATTTTAAGTGTTTCATGATATCTTCCAGCATCTAGGAAAGACCTCATGTAACCCTCACTGAGGTAACAGGAACTACTGAGGAGAATGCATGTAAGTCATCTGTGTGAGAGTGAGAGAAATTTAAATTCTGCTTGGCAAAAGCTGTGAAGCTGAGAGGGACAGATATCACATTATTACACTATTCTGAAACTGTGAGTTTGGCCAAATATATTCAGCTGAACTAAATGGCTGGGTCTCCAGATGTTATTAACGATGTGCTATAAAATTGCAGATGAGCATTATGTCTACCTTCCCTTCTCCCTTTGTACTCTACCTTAGTAAACCATGGGTGGCTTAAATTGTCTAAGTTTCTTAACTGATAAGCTAAAAGTTCTATAACTTGAATTTAATAGGCATGTCTGGATAACTGCAGCTCAGATTTTTCACACTGTGTTCAGTGCACAATAAGAAAGAGAGAGGAAGCACTGAAAAAAAGGCATCTTAGCACATATCCATGGCATTATAATCCGTAGTTTAGTAAGCCATGGGTGAACATCCAACTCAAGAGTCAGAGCTAAATACGTTAGAATTCCATGAATGGGATTGTATACATCTGTCTTTTACAAGGGACTGTAACATATTATCTACCATTGTCTTGCATGCCTGCAATAGCATCTTGATTGTGCAAATTAAAGTGCATTTATTTATTACATTTATGTAGCCGCCCATCTCACATATGTGACTCTGGGCAGGGCACACGATTAAAATAACAAAAACCAAACAATCAAGACAATTAAAAAACAAAACCATTAAATCAGATTTTAAACAGTTAAGAACTATACATTTTAAAAAAAAAAATGGAAGAGCGCACTCCAAAACTTACAAGCAGTATAACCATTTTGTAGGCTCTGTACTTCCATAGGATCCTCAGGACTGATGACAAAATCAGGTTTTAAGGGCCTTCCAGAAGGTCACTACCATCTCACCTTGGGGGGAATGATGTTCCAAATGGTGGGCACTTCAGCAGAAAAGGCTCTCCTCCTGGGTCCCATCGGATGAAGCTCCTTAGCTGTCAGGACCTGCAACGTGCTTCTCCTGCCGGACCTTATGGGACAGGGAGCTGTAACCAGGGAGAGGTGTTTGGAATGGGTATGATAGAAAAAGAAGTGTTGAAGGCCACTCTTATTTGTCAACTGGGCAGTCTAGCATGTGTGAACAAAAGAATTGCAAGGTTTGTTTGTTTCTTTGTTTATTTACAGTGGAACCTCGGGTTACGAACGCCTCTGTTAACGAACTTTTCGGGTTACGACCAGCTCCAGCTGCAAAAATTTATCTCGGTTTGCGAACTCTGCCTCGGGGTACGAGAGGATACGCGGCCATTTCCCCTCCCGTGACACGGTCCGCGGCCATTTTTCCGCCCCTGTGGTCCGCGGCCATTTTTCCGCCCCTGACGCGTGGTCCGCGGCCATTTTTCCGCCCCTGACGCGTGGTCCGCGGCCATTTTT